CGGGATCTTGTGGACTCTAGGGACTGAGCTTGCGTCAAAGTGCGTCTTCGACAATCTACAAGTCCCGACGCCCGATCTTCAAGACGTCTTTTCCCCGGCACCCCGGTCCAACGACGAGCTGCTAATTGGCAATTGAGATCAAACAATGGCATTCTGACTCCACAAATGATCTGGGACAGGCTGTGCGCCATGGATTATCCCGAGGATGTCGCTCGGAATAGCCAGGTGCTAATGCGGTTCTTCCCGATCATGGATCCCGACCCCGTCACCCCGTCCAGTAAAGCCGGGGTAAGACAAGTGTAGGGTCGGCAGGCAAGTCATTCTGTAGGCAGGTGATATTGCCTAGAGTAATTTTAACCTAATCGTCTGGAGCTCAAGTGGAAATGACGTCTGTCTTTGACCCGGGGTGGTGGTTCTCGGCCGGGGAGACAGCATGTTAGTCGACTTGCCTTTGGCACATCCGGGTGCCTGTAAGCTCTTTGCCCGCTTTCACCCGAGTATAAGTCATACATACAGCAACACTAGGATATGGCATTCTTCAAGCCTGTCCATTGGCTCAGCCAGACGCTGGCTTCCCCATTAGGATAAATGATTTCCAGTCTATGTCTCCGTGTCTATCTACCTGCTCCTCAAGCATAGATCTACGACTGGCAGAGAGTGTGGCACGTGACAAGTTGTCATTGCTACCAAACAATTCTTCAAGTACCAGTGTACCACTTCCGGTGTCTGAGGTTCCTGTGCCCGCCTTCTTTTATCTCGAGTGCTCTTATCCCGAGTAAGCTTTGAGCCCTTTGCTATAGAAGCATTCTTGACATCGCACAGCGAGTAGGTGGTAGATGCATTTTGGACTCAAGGCTGTGACTCGTGGAGACGGACGAACATCGGGATTGGTATGGCGAATTGCAGAAGTTGAAGATGGGCCACGTTATACCGCTAGCTCAGTAAAGAAGATATTGCGAACGAAACTGTAATCATCGGGGGCTTTCAGTCTTGCTTTGGTGCCACGTGCATACATTGCGAGCTAATTTATCCCGTCCTTTGCAATGAGTTGTGGAGGTGTCCAATCAGATAATCAATTCTTGATGGCGGCGGAGGATTTGTGGAAGGCACTTGGGTAACACATGCGCGATCGTTCCAATTTTGACCATGCCCGGAGATTGAAGGCTTCAGCCTCCACAAGTCATCCGGCTGAATCCCATGTTCTTGGGCCGGCCGGACGGCAGCAAGGAAGGCAAATTCGGTGCTTCTGGCCCGGGCAGCGCACCCGGCGGCAGTGGGCCGAATCGGGTGGAAGCGGCTTGGCGTGGGTCCGGGCGGCGCAGAGAGAAATAATGGAAAGTGACCTGAGGCATGGGGGATGTGGGGAGAGTTTTCTACCTCTCCCAGCGGTCTGCGCGGCCTGCGTCGGCGCCTTCCACTTCTGAGACTGGAGCATTGATTTGCACAGAAGAACTGGAAGCTTCCCCTCAGCTGGACCCCGCGTCTCTGTTGCATGTACCTTCCTTAGACAGCTTGGGTGCCTAGCAGACTGACCGCTTTCGTTCCTTTGCGGCTTTGGCCCCTCCCTCCCCCTCCTCAATGGCGTTCCGTTTCGCAACAAGGCGAACGATCAACCTAACCCCACGCATCGTCAACCCGACGACAAGACCAGTGACACGCATGTAAGTACACTTATATTCTTCCCCAGCCACTTTCCCATCTTTGACTTATCCATTGACCTGATTCCTTGAACAGTCCCTACCAACTACGAAATCACAACGCCTTTGCGACCCGTTCTCCCGTACTTCGAGCTACCCCTCCTCGACGAACCTCACGACTCCAGAACCCTCAGCGCATCGCAGCTACACGATACTGCTCCTACAAAAGAAGTATGTGCAGACACGGAGAGCATGGCGGCGCTGGCACGCTGAACTACCCTCGGGAACAGCTGCCTACCAACGTCGTCCCGCGCCACTACGATCTTACTCTTGAGCCCAACTTCGAGACGCTCAAGTTCGATGGCTTGGTCAAGATTGACTTTGACGTGGCTGAGGACTCTAACACTATCTCTTTGAACACCCATGAAATTGATATCAAGAATACTTCCTTGTCCTTCTCTATTGAAGGCCAAGAGAAGAGCCTTGGCGAACCAGTTGTCACCTATGACGAGTCGAAGCAATGGCACAGCTTCGAGTTCAAGGAGAAGCTCACCAAGGGTGGCAAGGGTACCCTCGAGATCAAGTTCGTCGGTGAGCTGAACGACAAAATGGCCGGGTTCTACCGCTCATACTACAACAAGCCGGATGGCACCAAGGGGATCATGGCCACCAGCCAGATGGAGCCTACCGACGCCCGCAGAGCCTTCCCTTGTTTCGACGAGCCGGCACTTAAGGCCGAGTTCACCGTCACGTTGATTGCCGACAAGGCCTTGACCTGTCTTTCCAACATGGATGTGGCTGAAGAGAAGGAGTTGCCCTCTGGAAAGAAGGCTGTCAGCTTCAACAAGTCCCCCGTCATGTCCACCTACCTCGTTGCCTTCATCGTCGGAGAGCTTAACTACATCGAGACCAACGACTTCAGAGTACCCATCCGAGTGTACGCCCCGCCTTCCGAGGACATTGAGAGAGGTCGTTACGCATTGGATATTGGCGTCAAGGCCCTGGAGTTCTACGAAAAGGCCTTTGGTCTGCCTTACCCTCTGCCCAAGCTTGATCAGGTTGCCATCCCCGATTTTGCTGCCGGCGCTATGGAGAACTGGGGTCTGGTCACCTACCGTACGGTCGAAGTCTTGTTTGACGACAAGACCAGTGGTGCCGCAGCCAAGGAGCGTGTTTCGACAGTCATCACCCACGAAATTGCTCATCAGTGGTTCGGAAACATTGTCTCTCCGGACTGGTGGCACGCTCTGTGGCTCAACGAGGGCTTCGCCGAGTTTGCGTCTCGCTACTCCATGAACGCCTTCTTCCCCGAGTGGAAGCTTAAGGAGTCTTTCGTGAGGGAAGATCTTCAGGCAGCTTTGGGCCTTGACGGCCTCCGAAGCAGTCACCCTATCGAGGTCCCTATTCACAAGGCTGAGGAGATCAACGAGATCTTCGATAGTATCAGCTACGCAAAGGGATCTTGTGTTGTCCACATGCTTTCGGCCTTCCTTGGAGAGGATATATTCATGGAGGGAGTCCGCAAGTACCTTAAGCGTCACGCTTGGGGCAATGCCACTACGAATGACCTGTGGCAAGCCTTGAGCGAGGCTAGCGGCAAGGACGTTGGCTCCATCATGAACATTTGGACCCAGAACGTGGGATACCCCGTCGTCTCTGTCACCGAGTCGGGCAAGTCAATCAGCGTCGAGCAGCATCGTTTCCTGACTACGGGAGACGTCAAGCCCGAGGAAGACAAGGTCCTCTACCCCATCTCTTTGAACGTCCGTACTAAGGGAGGTGTCGACAAGGACTTGATGCTCACAACTCGTGACACCAAATTCGAGATTGATGACGCCGAGTTCTTCAAGATCAACGCTGATTCTACGGGATTCTACCGCACTAAGTACCCTATTGATCGTCTCGAGAAGCTTGGCAACGCTGCGGAACTCCTCTCTGTTCAAGACAGGGTCGGCATTGTGGCTGATACGGCTGCTCTCGCAACCTCGGGCTACCAGAAGACTTCGTCTCTTTTGAGTCTGTTCAAGGCTCTGAGCCAAGGAGGCGAGGCCGAGTACCTTGTGTGGGATCAGATTCTTACCCGTCTGGGCTCAATTAAGATGGCCTGGATTGAGGATGATGCTATCGTTGACAAGCTCACCGAGTTCCAGCGGGAAATCGTCAGCAGTATCGCGCACAAGCTAGGATGGGAGTTCTCCGGCAACGATGGCCACGTCGAGCAACAGTACAAGGCTCTCACGTTCAGTGCGGCCGGTATGTCTGGTGACGAGAAGGTTGTTGCTGCGGCTCGGGCCATGTTCGAGAAGTTCGCGGCTGGAGACAAGACGGCGATCCACCCCAACATCAGAAGCTCCGTCTTCTCAATTGTCCTGAAGTTTGGCGGCGAGAAAGAGGTATGACTGTTCCTTGAGAACGCTTTTGAGACAGACCTCTAACCAAGACCACAGTATGATGTCGTTTACAAGTACTACAAGACCGCCGAGACCGCCGACGAGCGCAACAGCGCTCTGCGAACCCTCGGCCAATCCCGTGACCCCAAGCTCCGCCAGCGCACGCTGGACCTTTTGCTGAGCGGCGAGGTTCGTGACCAAGATATCTACATCCCCATCGGCAGTCTGCGGTCGAGCAAGGGCGGCATTGAGGCCCTGTTTGACTGGCTGCAAACAAGATGGGAGGAGATCTACACCAAGTTCCCTGCCCAGTCTTCCATGATTGGCAGCATCGTGAGCTACTGCACAAGCGGGCTTACGAAGCAAGAGCAGCTGGATAAGCTCGACAAGTTCTTCGCGGATAAGGAGAAGAAGGGTTTCGTGCGTGCATTGTCGCAGTCCACCGACTCGGTCAAGGCCAAGATTGCCTGGAATTCTCGTGATACCGAGGATTTGAGGAAGTGGTTGGGTCTTTAAGGGTATTGGTGAGGACGATTGCCAATGTGCCATGCACGCCCGCCATTTCATCTTGGATGGATGAGAGAGGAGCGTGTTGCCGGGTCAGGCAGGAGATCAAAACAAATAACGCATTGTAATAAAAATGGCCAAAGAAGAGAACATCTCCGCTTTTCGAGCCCTTCATTTAAACTGTTCAAATGGTGTTTTACTATTGTCTTCGTGTGCATGAGAACATCGTATGTGATGTGAGTGGTTTTACGGTTGTGGTGGACCCTGCGATTATTTAGGTAGTCATCATGTAGGGCACCTTCCTTGCCCAGTGCGTACTGAGTTTACTATACCCTATTCACCTTGAGCTGCGGCCAATTCGTTCTACATTCATCCTTCACCTCCGTCCAACCGACCGCATGTCTTGTCTTTCTCAACGAAGACAAAATTCATTGATTCAATAGTCCATTGCAACTCGGTCCACACCATGTCGAAACTTGTTTCGTCGTGGCAGGTCCGCGCCGAGGCCGGCGAACCCTTTGCAGTGATCCGGGTCCGCGACCTTCAGAGCATGATCAAAGTCGGCACCGATGCCTGGGGCCGCGAGGGCAAGACGCAGCCCATTGTCGTCTCCGCCGAGCTGTCCATGTCAGAGCCTTTTGAGGCCGCGTCACTCTCGGACAAGGTCAGCGATGACACGGTGCACTACGGCCTCTTGGCCAAGGCGATCCTCGGGTTACTGGACGACGTGAACCGCTACGAGGACGACATGACCCTGGAACAGGCCATGAGGATGATCTGGGGCGAGTTGACTGGGTACCTCATCCACGGGTCCGAGTCGGATGAGCCGGGGTTCTTGAAGAACAAGCTTCCCAAGATTCGGTACCTGAACATCACTCTCACCCTGCCAAAGGCGTCCCTGCTTGGTAGCAGCGTGAGCCGGTCTTACTCCTCGACCTGTGACGTCCATAACGCTTCACCCGCGGGGTGGTTATACAGCTCGACCCTGCGCTTCAACGACCTGCGCGTGCCTACGCTCATTGGCGTCAACGACAACGAGAGGCTGGCGAGGCAGATTGTCGTGGTCAGTGTCGAGATCGAGGGCTACAATGGATACTCGGATAGTTACGTCGAAATCGAGTCTTTCATTGTAAAGGTTTGTTGCTTCTTCTTCTTCTTCCTCTTCTTCGCCGTCTTGATAGTTCTTCTCCTCGTCGGTATAAAGATCATTGCTGACTCAAGTCATGGTACCAAAAGATTCTGGGAGACTCGTCTTTTGAGACGCTGGAAGCCCTCGGTCCCGCCATCACTCAGGGGGTCAGGCGGTTCTACCAAGAGCGATCAGATATTCACGAGCCTCTCGTCAGGCCCGCAGACTGGACTATCAAGGTCATCATGGAGAAGCCGACAGCCATCACCTTGGCGGCGGCCTCGTGCGTGGAGTACAGAGAACCCCCACAGGCAAAGCAATAGTCAAATCCATCTGTTCTAGAGAAAGAATCACAATACTTCAAATCTAATGTTCTTTGCTGTGATAAGTTTGATGGAGAAGGGGGCCCGTCTGTTTCTTGCCATCTTTCTGTCTCCTCCCATGTCTGTACCGTTTGCCGTCATGAACTCTCAACCGTACTCCCCCCTTCACCAAGCCCAAGACCCGTCAATCCTTCTACTACTCATGCCTCAAACTTCTCACATTGAGGCACATCCCCGTTGGTAATCTCCCGAATGAACGCGGGATCCGGGTCGAAGAGCATGACATGGAAATGCTCAACCGCGTGAACGGACTTGAGACTCCGCCAGTTCTTGAACCAAATGACCTAACCATCATCGTCAGCTTTAATCACCCCCACCAGTGCCATACAGCTGAAACCGAAGACTCATCATCATATCATGAAAAAGAAGAGAACGTGACAAACTCACAGTATCAGCCTTCGTCCTCGCCCGGAACGTCCCCTCCACAAACCGATCAATCTCCCCCCTCGCCCTCTCCGTCAAATCCCCCGTCGCCGGATTCTCCTCCAACTCAAACTTTGTCCAAACAACAAGATGCACAATCCGTCCATCAATCCCATACGGCCAATCATTATACAAAATCCTATAATCCGCCTCCTCCTCAAACAACCCCTTCCCCCCAGTCGCCCCCAACCGCCCCTCCTCCCACCCAAGCCGCCGCCTCAGCACAAAGTTCATCACACTCCCGTGCTCCTTGATCAGAAAATGAATAAACAGCCGGTACCGCCTCAGCTCGCTCGGCACCCGCTGGAACAGATCCAGCCGGTTCGTCTCCACGAGCCGCCGGACCTCGGTCCACGTCTGCCGGCGGTAGGCGCCGTCGGGCGTGCTCAGGATGCCGACGTCCTTGGCCGAAAGGTTGCGGAGGCCCTCCGGGCACTCGTCTGTGCGGCGGTCCGTGGGGACGTTGACTTGCCAGTACGGCAGCGCCGTGGCTGCCGGGCCGGAGAGGCTGCCCATGGTTCTTGTGTTTGTGGTTGGGGTGTGTTTCCTGGCTTCAATTGGGTAGATGGATATTTGACAAGATCAGGGGGTTCTGTCGAGTAAGTTTCGATGTGATGTATTTCGTATCCAATCCTTAGTGTAAAATATATATATATATAAAAGAAGAGGGATGTCGTTGTCACCGAGAAAGGGGAACGTTCAACAAAGCTAAGAGGGAACGGAGATCTGGACGCTTGCAGGGCCGTCCACGGTTGTCAAAGGACCCAAGACGACAAATTAAGACCTCTCTACTATATGGGGGTGGGCCGTCCTATTTAGCCTCCGTTGCTCGTTGCTCGTATACAATATGCCCGCATCAGAAAGCCTAACAATTCTTGTCTTCGGTGAACCCGTTGTGCCTAGAGAAATGCATTTGTCGCTGCCGCTGCCATCTATCCCATGAAGCAAAAAAATGCATGGAGGCGTAAACTATCAGTCGGAAACCGGCAGCCCACCAAAATCATGCATCCGGCGGCAGCATCCCACGTCGAACCCCCCTCCCCCTTCCCCCCCCCGGATTGCGCCCGCCCGCTGTGGTGCCCGGAGTAAGGACCGGCATGTGACCGCGCGCATTATTCATCTCAGGTTTTTTTTTTTTGTCTGGTTTTTATTTTTTTTACCTTGCCCTTTCGGATTTCCTTTTTCCTTGTCTCACCGCTACTCGTTGCCAGTCGGTTCTGGACCACTCCACACGGAACTGCAGGTCCAAGTTACCGGCAGACCGACATCGTTACACACAAACGGCCATCGACGGACCATGCCAAAATCAACGGTAGTTCACATGGATCAGACGGGAGTAATCAATGCAAGTACGAAGTACAAGTGGAGGTCAACGAAATGCGCACGCAGGGTTTGAGGTGCCTTATTAAAATACTATCGAGTTTGTTCTGCCGCTGCCACAGATACCTTATGCAGACGCGGCCTTTTTTGGGGGGAATGATCATTGGTTTCTTCCTACTGCTCCACCTCGCCTCCAGATTGTCCCCTCGTGATGCAGCTCAGGGCACCGTGACATCTAGTTGGAATGTGCTCAAAATACAAAACTTGCAAAAAAAAAGCCACTTAGTGCTCAAGCAGGCGCAAGCTACCCTGCACAACGACGTTCTCGAGGATGGATCCAGGAGGCACATCAATAGTGCTGCCTTCCGTCGCAACAATAATGACGGTACCCTTGAGAGTGACGCCACGGCCGAGATTGACAGCACCAGTGATGGTAAGGTGGTCCAACTCAATGATCTTGGGAATGGAGGGGATGTGCTTCTGGAAGTCAGAGACCTTCTTGAAGTCGCTGCCCAACTTGATGAGAGGAGCGTCACCGAAGCGGCTGGAGCTCATCTGGAGCTGGCCGTGCTTGACGGTGTAGAGATCGGACTTGACGAGCATCAGGTCAGAGCAAGTCTTGACGGGCAAGAAGCGACGACGGGGCACATTGACACCGTGGGCGTTCTTGAAGTGACGGATGGCAGCACCGACAGCGGTCTCCAGCTGGATGATGGAGATGTCAGACTCGCCCTTCTTGTCACCAGGGATGGTCTTTCCGTTGGGAATGATCTCCATCTCAAGCTCATCGTTCTCGACAACGCGCTTGATGGCCTTGAGGTTCAGCCAGATGTTGTTGGTGTTGAAGTACTTGAACTTCTTGATGGACTTGAACTCGTTGACATGCTCCTTGGGGACCTGGGCGATCTCGAGAAGACGGACGGATCCCTCGTAGTCGATGATGGTACCACCCTTGACGTCGGCCTTGGTCTTGTTGGTCAACTCCATGATGTACTCAGACTCGGTCTCAACCATGTGCTGGAGGATGCGGAGGTCGACGACGGCGCCCAGGTTGTCAACGTTGGACAGGAAGACAACCTCGATGCCGCGCTCAATGAGCTTGTCGAGAATGCCGGAGTTGTAAAGCGACTCGAAAACGTCACCGTGACCAGGGGGGTACCAGTCGTTGATGGAAGAGTCGGTCTTCTTGGGGACAGGAAGGAGAGAGTCCTTGAGGATTCTGGGGTATCTGGACTGGTTGAAGGTGAGGATGTCGACGTTGTGGCCCTCGTACTTCTTGATGATGGAGGCGGTGTCCTCATCGGTGTTGAACGAGTTCATGAGAATGAAGGGCACGTTGACATCGTAGGTGCGGTTGAGGTACTCGATCTGGCGGACGGACAGGTCAAGGAAGGACATGCCGTCACGGACCTCGATGACGGATTTGGGGCCGACACAGCCCATGGAGGTACCGAGACCACCGTTGAGCTTCAGGACGGCAAGCTTGTTGAGGAACTGGACGGACTCGGAGTTGGCGAGGTCCTCGTAGTCAACAACCTGACCCTGGGCAGGGGGGGCAATACGGTCCCAGTCGCTGTCTCGTTGTCAGCTTGGAGTTCATTTGTGCCGCATCGTTCTTGCTATGCACTTACACGGCGTTGCCCTTGGCCTTGTCGTTCAGGTAGCGGCGGAAGAGGGCGAAGAAGTTGTCCATCTCCGTCTCGAACAGCTGTGAAATGATTAGGACTGGCCTGTCCACTACTACGATTGGGCTGTGATTATGCTAACCTTCTTCTGCTCGGGGTCGGTGACAGTCTCGGAAAGCTGGGTGAGGGCATTGCGCATCTGAGCAGCAGCAACGCTGGTGGAAGTGTTCTCGAAAGCCTGGGTGTGAAGTCAGCCACGCATTCAGGTAGAGGGGACCGACTCTTGTGGTGGTCGTATCTCGAAGTGGAGAATGCTTTGAAGCCATCGCCGAGTGATCCGCAGCGGGGCTCTGCGACCGATGCGGCCAGCTTTCTGCTACCCCTGACAGGCATCGTGGAGCTTGTTGCCAGGTTGAGAGCAGCGCACACCGTACTGCCCAGCTTATCCCCTTCAACCGTGTAAAGCCAGCAAATGTCCTTGAAAGTATCTGGTGCCTAACACATTGGCGATGCTGTACGATGCCGTTGGAAACTGGCCCAGCCGTGGTTGTCAAAGTACAGCAAGTAGCCAAGCGTCGTACGACATCTCAGGTATTCGGCATGGAAGAAGTGACACAAGCTGGCAAGTATGGCGGTTCTTGAGCTGTACAAGGCCCTGTGCTGTCTGTCTCGGGACAAAACAGGCGCCGGTCGCGGTACTCGACATGGCCTCGTTCAAGACTGCATTGAAAGAAAGGGGTGGATAAAGTATGTACCATGTGGGATCTCGTCTTGCCGTGGTGGCGGGAGCTGAACTCCTCATCGCTCTTGCCCTGACCGCCGAGGGGGGACTTGAGGTGAGTGGGGAGAGCGCTCTTGATCGCTTGAGCCATTGTGAATGATATTTAACGCGATTCGCGGTGTGGAACTGGATGTACTGAGAAAAATGTTAACGAATGCCAACAGAGCAAAGAGCGGCGTTCGAGTGTATCGTGATTTATTTTTTTGTAGGTGTAGAGGGGAGGGTGTGGAAAAGGAGAGGGAAAAACAAGCGGTGATTTCGAGGACGGCGGGGTTAGTGCCTACGTTGACAGGGGATTCGCCGTGGGATTTGCGGCGAAAAGATTGCTGGTAGCTCAGAGTGTTCTGTGTAGCCTGACGTAATTTGTGAGCTTCTCCGAGTGATTTGAGAGAGAGAAAATAAAGCAAGGTGTGGAATGAGGCAGAAGTTAAGGTCGGCGGAGGTAAAGCAAGGTACTCCCGCGGTGAAGGAGAGCTTGAGGAGGGCGGGGGAGGTACCGAAACTGCGAAAAATGGCATAGGGAGGCAAAGTGAGGTGCTTCGGAAGCAAGATCAGAGCTGCAATCTGCTTGGTTGGGGCAGATAGTGTGCGGTTGCGGTGATCGGCGGTAGGGTGAAGAAGGGTTGGAGGGGAAGCAGGCGGCGATTGGGGATGGGGAAGTTAAGGTACTTACAGCAATAGCAACAGCAACGCAGCAACGAGCGAGTGTGGTCGAGAATTTTGGTTGGGATGGAGAGGGGAGGATGAAGAGGAATCAAATAGGGAAAAAAAAAGGAGAGCCGTCAAAAAGAAGCAGAGACGGGCAGGAGGTGGCCGGGCAATTGGCTTTATAGCGGTGATATCACTGTGGGAACCCAGTCGATTCGCATTTGCCAATTTTCATTTTATCTCGTTCCCCCCGTTCGAGGAGGAGACAGCCACGGGGGGAGGGGCGCCTGTCACTGGAGACACCCGACGGCCGACACACCTGAAGACGAGATCGAAGTGCTGGGTGCTGGGCAGTCACCGTCGAGACCTTGTGCTTGCCTTCAAGGTTCCTTCCTCACCTCCTTCTCGAACCTGACGCCATATACGAAGTACCTACGGAGTACTCACACTACTTTGTACGGAGTGGTTTGTACCTTCCATCCCACCCCTCCTCTAAGGTAAGGTACCTGGGCAAGTACCTCATCCCACCTTCACCTCAACTTGTGCTGGATTATTTTTATTTCGCGATATCCGTGCGGATACATCACTCACCACACAGCACACAGTCCCCCAAATGTCGGGTCCAACATCCACATCAGCCTTGTCCTTTTTGTCCCATTGCCCCTTAGCTCGTACTCGTCTCCAATATGAGAAAGAGGAGATTGATCAAGGCAAGCTTCGAGACCCAAAATATTTCCCGCCCAGACCAGTCCCTGAAGCTAATCATCGGTACCTGATATCGCACACTCAAGCCATTCCAGCCCACCCCTCCTCGACTGCAACCCTCTGGCGTCTGGCCTGGTCACGGCCTTCTCAGCACCCCTGTGGCGCTTCAGACTAGTGACGCCTAAACGAGAGAAGCGGCGGCTGCAGCTGCTGCTGGCTCGCATAAGTGGCAAAGGCGAATGAGGCGCGGAGAGGGGAAAAATAATTAAACAACACCAGTCTCGAGAAGCACGTCGTTGTTTTAATCAAGAATTGGGGGTACACAAACAGATACGGACGGCGATGCAGATCATCAAAGCGTGCGGATAACGGCCAAATCTGCAAAACGCTGCGGCCAACCATCCCACTTCATCCAACCTACTCCAGGTGAAGCCAGGGACGACACCGGGAAGGCCAATGCTCAGACATACAGGAACAGTCTCTGAGGCACGATGCTAGGCAACGTCTTCCGTCTTTGCAGCAAAATGGAGTTACGTCCTCGGGTTTCCCATTCCCCATCACCATCTCCATCCCAAGTGCCAGCATCAGTCCGCGGCCACGGCCGCCCACACACTGCTGTACGGGAGAGCCGTCCGAACAAGTACTTCCCGGCGATGCATGCACTAAAAAAGGTGCGAGTCTCCATTCACTGCGGAGTCGAACCGTCTTCGCTACAGATTCACTCGCCTTGAATGGATATCCTAAAATATCACAACCCCACCAACCAACATCCTCGCCAGCTGTAAGATGAGCTGGACCTGCCCTCCTACTGTATTTCCTACCACGTCCCCCCAAGTCCCAACCACTTTGCGGAGTCCTTGTCTGCAATAAGGCGGGACGCGACACCTGATGTACCCATTTCTTCACCTACTTTACCTTAGAGAACCCGCCCCCCACCTGGGGAAACGTTACGGTGTGCTTCTCGCATTGCAAAAGCCTCCTCGGATCTGCCCAAGACCACAAAGACTTCGACGCGCACCGTCTTTCATGTTTACTTGGCAGTTGAGCAAGGCTGGTTCTGTTCGAGGGCATCTCAAAAGGGGCCAAGCGGTCCGATGTCCGTCTTTTCTCGCCGACGTCCCTCCATCAATGGCGCTATTCGCCAAAGATAGTCGGCCGAGCTGAACGCCCAATGGCCGGACTCGCCTACGCTTCACACACCTCATCGCCCGTCGTTCAACAATAGGAGTTGCCACCACCCTGAACTTCCCGACTTCGCTAAATTGATCGGGACCAAAAGTACTCAACCCGGCGACCTTTGCTTCAAGCGGCCGGGTTTTGCTTCAGTGTCAAGCAAGAATCGCCGTGCTATTTGCTTTCTGGCCCCTAGTCCACATCACAGCCGGAGCCGATTTTCTAGCCAAGCCGGCCCTCTACGGAATCTTTCCCGAACAATCGCTCCTTGAGCTCTCAAATGATCCAACCATCAGGTTTCTTGTGAAGTTCGTTGAACGAAAATAAAACACACAACCCCTGAATGCCGGCATCTGCGCCCCGGGCGGGCCAATTCCCACTTGGCTTCTCGTTCTAGTCAGTTCCCAACCCGCTCAAGGGGAAGGGATCCATCAAAACCCATCCCGCCAGGTCGGAAGTTTGATTACATACTGCTACACTGTGGGCCGGATGGTCCAAGACGGATATCTCGCAGAATATCCGTACGGAGTACAGATGCAGAGGCCCTTTCCGACACGATCATCTCATCTGTGGCGGCGGCCCATTGACGTTGAAAGGGAACTAGAGAGACTTTGACGTGTTGCCGGCCACCGCCCGGGCTCTACTATCTTTCAACTAACTCTTTCAGCCCGGCAAGCCAAACTCGCGGGCGTCCGTTCAGCCCGATCAGACACGACGCCGTCGGCTGTCATGCAAAAGACCCCTGTTTTCACATACGTCTCGCGAGCCCCAGCACGTTATGTAAGCGCAATTTGCGCTTTTTGACGCCATTTTCAATAATGGCATTCTTCTCCCGGATCTCGAACTCTTTTGTCCATACTCATCCTTGTCTAATAAGCAATATGTTGCAAGTTCCAGGCTGCGCTGATTAGCCGTTCGCCGGGGTGGTTAGGGAAGCAATGAAACGAAACAATGAGCCAAATGTCATCACCAGGGGCCGTAACCACAAATAGAACAGGCGGCGGACGGGAAGCCTCAATCCGTATCTGCACTTGGACTGCATCGCAGACAGGCCGCCCCATCAAATGAGGCTCTCCGATGCGTCCCACGTGGGGGGAGGGGAGGAAGCCCAGACCACACCACAGCGCCCAGAAGTTGTCCGATCATCCATCTGGATCGTCAAGTAAAGATTTAGCCGTACTCCGTACAACATATCCAGTCCCGACAAGTCGGCGCCTCTAACGTGACGGTTATGGTATTTCACATCATTCAGTCCTTTAGGTCACATAGGCGACAGGTGAGACCAGGTATACGGTGCATAGGTCAAGGCCAGGTTTACTTTAATCTGTCTTTTCTTCTACCTATCCTATCGTAAGGAGTCGGAGTATACCTTACGACAGATATGAAGGATGATTGTGTACGTTCCGGAATACGTGCGTGAAGTACGCCAGCCGTCACTGTCACACCAAAACACCTAGTCCTTCCTCGGTGATTGGTCTCGTTTTCACGAGAGCCTCAACCTGATAATCAAGCTACTAAACGCCGCCCACTCAACCTCCGAAAAAGGGGTATAAACGCTCGAATCACCGCCATCTCTTCTTATCCTCTCAGTAATAGCCTCATTTCTTCTTCTGCTTCTCCATGTTCTCCGTACACACGGGACAATACCACGTCCCGTTCGGCTCGCTCTTAAGGCCGACGCACGACCAGTGGAACCACTCGTAGGGGCAATCCTCATTGTCGCACGCCACCATGTCACCGAAGCTGACGTTCTGGCACGTGCAGTATTTCTTGTCGTCGCCAGCCTCATCATCTTCGGCGTCGAGCATGCTGTCGTCGCCGTCGCCGTCCTTGCGATCGCGCGCAGGGGTGCCGCTCGTACGGTCTGCGCGGCTGCGGTGGTCGCCGTCGTCGCCGCTTCCGCTCTCGGCATCCGATAGCTCACTATCTGCCGTCGAAGCTGGGGAGTTGCGGCTTCCGGCCTTTTTCACGCGGGACAGGGACGACTTGTTGCTGCTGATCGGCTTCTTCCGGCCCGCGCCACTCGGCGTCCCTTTCCGTATGCCTGAGACGCTCGATGCCTTTGTAGATGACGATCTGGGCCCTGCGCTGCCTGCTCGCACCGTGCCGTTCGGTCCGCCGGGGGTGGTTCCTTTCGGCGTGCCTGGGCCTAGTGAGGAGTGTCTGGCCAGACTGCTCGACGTCGCAGGAAGAGCGCCGAGTCCGGAGACGGAACGCGGTCCTCTCTTTGGCGCGCCGCTCCCCGGCCCTGCCGAACTCTCCCGAGCTTGACGATTCATTATCATGCTAGCGGCAGGCGTCGTAGGAGCCGAGGCGGCGTGTTGCTGGGACTGGGCGTTGCGGATCTGGGGGTTTCCTGCGCGGGCCGTGACCGGACTCGACGAGTTGATGATCGGGTTCAACGGCGTCGCGGTGATGGCTGTGCCGACGAGGTGGCTCGCGGGGTTGATGGATCGGCCTGACGGGGCAGAGTGGTTCGCGGCGCTGGGCCGGATGAGGGAGGGGCATTCGTCGGGTTCGTTGAAGCCTGGCTCGGCGCGGTCGTATAGCATCTTGATGTGTTGGTCGAGGTTTCGCAGGTGTTTATCCATGATGATCTGCAGCTTCTGCGTCAGGGCGATCTTCTCCGTGGCGAGCTGGTCGGCACGGATGAAGTTGTCGCGCATCTGAGATCGCATGCCCTGCTCGCGCGGGTTCGTCTCGTGGCTGCCGTTCGCCCTGATCCATTTCTGTATCTTTCCGTCGCGGTCATCAATCAGCTTGACGCAGTCGCCGTACTGCCGGTCCCTGTCGGCGATTTCATCCTGCAAGAAGCGAATCTCTTCCGGAAGGTTCTGAACGCGGTTGAGCCAGTCGTCGAGGATAATGGCCGGGTCGAGGGCCTCGGCCGTCGGCATCCTCCTGACGAAGTCGATGGACAGATCGTCTCTAGGCATATTGCGTGTTAACGACGGTCCCAGTATAGATATGTACCCTTTTGCTGAGCAAACAAGCGGCCGGGATCTGTTCTAGCAGGCAGACGAAACGGCGTACGCCCAGCAAGAACCACAGAAACGGATCAGGAGCAGGATGTATATGCAACCAAAGCAGGGTTCTTGCTAGAGACAGGGACGAGGACGAGGACGAGAGACGGAGTGCGATGATAGGTCGAGGGAGGTAGAGGAAGCAACAAAGGTCTCGTGAACCAAAGTCATCGAGATTAAGAGGGGACTATGCGAGGTAAGAGGGATTGGGGCAGAGCAGAATAGAGGATATGTGGAGTGTAAGGTATAGAGCAGAAAGCCGGCGGCAGGTGGGAATAGTGGCACGCAGGGTGACGGGGGCGGGGCGGCACGGCACGTCCGCCGACGGGGTGGGCTGACCGAGAGGGCGGAGGACCACTGGTGATATATTCGTATGCCTTGGCTGCACTTGCCCTTTGGGGAAGCGATGACAGAGGAGTCTTGGACAGGAGAGACTTTGATGAACAGAGACCCCGGCCACGATCCTCCGCAACGAATGAAGTGACTAGCTTGGCTCACCTAAAAGAAACTGGAGACCGGAAGAAGAAGGGGGGGCGTCAAATCGACAAGTTCTCTCTGTTCGATTTCTCACCAGCTTGCAGCAGGCGAGTCGAGCGTCGAATGATCGAGTCGAGTCGAGGCGAGGCGAGGCAAGGCGACGTACGGGCCCTTGCTCGTGATCCCGGAAGGTATTTTATTCACGGAGTAATAAAAAATCCCCTGCTGGATACGGATAGAGAGATGAAATTTTCTCGGATGCGCGTGGGTGTGGGGTGGAAGAGGCTGGAATCGCGTTTGTGCAGCGTGGTGGTCCAGTTCCAGTTGAATTCGGGTGGTGTCACCGGTGGGTGGACAAGTTTGCGAGGGTCCAGCTGGTCATGGCACCGTCCACTGACAGCGAGACGAGCTGAGCGGAGACGGGAGTTTTAGCCTCCGGTTTCCATGCTACTGGAGATGCGCAAGGTGCGTTCAGGCTTTAGGCATGTGCTCAGGCGGACCTTGAGTCATTTGATTGGGTGCATTTTCCATAGTGGACCAGAGGATACTTGATTGGGTCCAATCTCAATGTCTCCTTGTACCTATTTGGATGTGCTCAAGGAAAATTCCAGCCTCAAGACCCAAGATACGCATAAACTGGGTTCCCGCAAAGTATTCATTGCAGAAAGTGAAGATCTCAATAACTCACAAGCAGAAATCTGTAGACACAGAGCGTAAGGTACCCTGGTCATGCTCCCGATTCTCAGGCATATTCGAAAAATGTGTCTCGAGTGTACGGATACATTCGAGATTTCGTGCACGTACCAGAAAGTCAAGCCACAGTGAGGCTGGTGTGTTCCCACCATTATGGGGAAAGCGTCCCCAAATGCGCCCGAGGTGGCTGGTCTTTCCAATGAAAGGAAACCTTGCTTTACCTCAGCAGGGACCTACCTAAGGTACCGGCTTCCTCCCCCGTCGCCTGCCACAGAAGGTACCTACTATCCAATTATGAAGCCAACCCTTGAACGAAACCTCGCAAATACATCACGAATCACCAACCGACGACCTCACGGACAGCTTTGAGACTTGACGCAGATACCACCAATTACACCTCAATCCAACAGGAAGGAAATAAACATCGAAAGCTCTCGATTTGAGCCCTTGCGACGACCTCTGACTCAGCCAGCGTTACCAGCCATCTGTTCTACCATTGCTGAGTAAAACTCATCTCAGTCGGCCAGCCGAGGACCCCACCAGTCACCACATTCGACAACAATCGAGACTCATCTTGAGCTTCATCCCGGCCGCTCCGGCGGGATATCCGTCGCTCGCCATCATGGACACAGACGCGTACCGATTCCGCGTCCCTAAGCCGAATTATTTACCTCACAGGACCGACAAGGACGACATTGTCGAGGAATATGAGCCCCTCGGCCAAGCCAGTGAGCTTGACAACGCCAAGTACTTCGCCAAATGCAAGCGCATAGCTGAGGAGTCGGGCATCACACGGCCAAAAGGCTATAATGTCTCTTTTCATTGCAATCCCGAAATGGAGAAGCACCACTTCGGCCAGACTCATCCTATGAAACCCTGGAGACTTACACTCTCCAAGAGTCTCATATATTCTTACGGCATGTCCTTTGCCATGGACAACTACATCGCCCGAGCTGCCACATACGAGGAGCTCAACGACTTTCACTCGGACGACTATTTGGACTTTCTTGGCACAGTCCTGCCCGAGGCTGTTCCTAGGGACGTTGAGAACGCTAATCCCGATCTTAAGTTTAATCTGGGTGGCTCCGACTGTCCTCTGTTCGAGGGTCTCTACGACTACTGTTCCATGTCAGCGGGCGGATCTCTCGATGCTGCGCGAAAGATATGTTCCAACCAGTCCGACATTGCCGTATCATGGGGAGGCGGCCTGCATCACGCAAAAAAGGCCGAGGCGTCTGGATTCTGTTACATCAACGATATCGTCCTGGCCATTCTGCAGCTACTACGCTGCTATCCCCGTGTCCTTTACATCGACATTGATGTGCATCATGGAGACGGTGTTGAAGAAGCATTTTATTCCACCGACCGCGTTATGACGGTATCATTCCACAAATACGACCCTCTCAACTTCTTCCCCGGCACCGGCGGACTGGACGATAATGGTCCTAAGAACGAGCATAACCCAGGAGCCCATCATGCCATCAACGTTCCTCTGAACGATGGCGTGACCGATGACCAGTACAAGTGGCTCTTTGAGAATGTCATTGGTAAATGCATGGAGAAGTTCCGACCCAGTGCTATTGCGCTGCAGTGTGGTGCCGACTCTCTTGCCGGAGATCGCCTTGGACGTTTCAATCTTCAAGTACAGGGCCACGGCGCTTGCGTCGAATTCTGCAAATCATTCGGAGTGCCCATGATTCTCTTTGGTGGCGGTGGGTACACTCCCCGCAATGTCGCCCGCGCCTGGGCCTTCGAAACCAGCATCGCCATCGGCTGCCAGGACAAGATCGATCCCATTATTCCGACACACGCTCCTTGGAGAGACCAATTTAGGTATGAGGAGCTGTTCCCGACGTTGGAGCAGATTCTCGGGGAGCCGCGTGTCAACCGCAACACACGAAAGAAACTCGATGAAGTGCTGCAGCATGTGACAGAACAGCTCAGGTTCGTGCAATCAGCCCCAAGTGTACAATATCAGACCATTCCCCCAGACCTGGGCGGTCTGAGAGACGACGTTGAAGCGGCACTCAAAGAGCAGCGGGAGGCCGAGAACGACGCTGTGAGGAAACAACGAGAAGAGGCTGTTGGACAAGCCATGGAGTATGCATGAGGGCAGAGTGGCATTCCATCACAGCATGGGAGTACGCGGGATACCAGACGGAGTTTACGGTGTGTGTATAAATGCTTTCAGAGTTTAGGACTCTGCATCCTCAACGTCCACGGGCCAGAGCGGGCCAGGCGGGAACTTTGCGACGGAAACGATGAACAGCAGGGACAGTGTCAAGGTTGGTTCCAGCAAGTTCTTCCGGTTTACGTGGTTACTAGGAAATATCAAACAAGCACCAGTTGAGTCCGATATTCGTCATTTGTTGTTGCATCAGGATCTGTCATCTGTGACCTCAATCTTTAAGACGGCCGCTCCTGTGTGATATTCCGGGAAAACTATCATTTCAGAACCGGATGTCATGAATTGTACGGATTACGCTACAGAGTCGAACGTTGAGAGGTCGCATAACATCAGGGCAAATCTGACATTGTGGTCACCCATCATTGTGTGTTGCAATATCGAATAATGGAACCAACCTGAGCAACCCGCCCATCTCTCATTCGACATTATTCGGCTGCCTAGATAGCGGGGCTCGGATCAGGGACGCATCTCGGCCACTGCGTCCTACTTTGGCTAGATCCACGTCGGGCAAATCGAGCAATTGTCCAATGGGAAGTGACAGCATGACGACCGCCCTTAAGCTTAATCCCATTTCTCAATTATGCGACGACGACAACACCGACGGAAAGTTCCTTTGGGAAAGAAGATGATTAGAGGGGGGTAGAAGAGCTGACTGAGTAGTCGTCGGGGAGGCTCAGATGTAATCGGGGGGTTCGAGGTTTGCGTTCATCTACTTTACGCGTTTGCACCCAAGTTGCTTGGAAAACATCAGCAAGGGAAAAAAGGAATTGTGATTGAGATTTTTTTTGTCCCTTGACGCCCATGGCATACCTCTCCTCAACATCAGACGACTGGAAAAAGTGAAATACGGGACGATGTCACCCTCAACCCATGGGACCATGACTGCTGTCTTACAAGTTACACCTATTATCTGGCGATATTATGGCTCCCGGTCAGCATTTAGATCCAAAGCCAAGAGTGTCCTTCTTCGCTCTTTCAATGTGCGAGGCGGCAGGCCCAGGGATCGCGCCAATCGGCTTCCCGCACTGATGCTTAATTGACGCAGAGCCCGTCGCTGGATTTGGGTTATTCGTACCGACGGTTTCGCTCGTCGATGCCACGCTCCCCCTGGTCCTGCCTGCATCCTTCGAACTAGCTGCCTGGAGGGAGGGGAGCCACTTTATATCGATTTTGTCCCGCTTCGCACCAAGACCCCCGGATCCTCTTATAAGTCAGCTTGAAATGTATATAATGACCTCTTCACTTCCTTTCCTCAGACGATAGGGAGAGAGACAGAGAGAGAGTGTGTGCGTGTGTGCGTGTGTAAAAGAGAGCGTGCTGCGCATAGGAACTCGTACAACACATTCCCACGCCTCGACCACCAATCCTCTTCCTCGTCGGACAATACAAGTCCAAAATGGTCTCGTCACGAAAGCTCGCCCTCCTCGCCGTAGCCCCGGCCGGCATCCTCGGCCTCGCCGCGCCGCTCGCCCCCCGCGCCGTGGACTACAGCAAGTGGAAGCCCGGCGCCAGCTTCCAAATCGTCCTCCACCACCCCGTCTTGGCCGAGACCACGGCCGACATTGTCCCCGCCAACGCCGACGTCTGGGATATCGACCTGCAGCACGCAGTTGACTATCCTAATATCATTCCCACTCTCAAGGTGAGATGACATGAGTCTTCCCTAACTTATCTATCCATCTATACAACAGTACGAGGGTATCCTCGAAGAAAGGCAAAAGCAAATGCTAACTTCTAAACCCCCCAAAAAAAGTCGGCGGGAAAGATTATCATGTGCTACTTCAACGGCGGCGCCCTCCAAGACTGGGACGAAGACCTAGACGCCTTCCCCTCCGCCGTTATCGGCTCCCCCTGAACCCGCCCTACACAGACGAGCGCTACCTCAACATCAAAGACGCCCGCGTCGTGACCCTCATGAAAGCCCGCCTCGAGCACGCCGCCTCCATCGGCTGCGACGCCGTCGACCCGGACAACATTGACGCCTGGGCCGAAGACGGCGAGGCCGACCCGACGGGCTTCAACCTGCAGCCCTCGGATTACGCCACCTACATCTCCACCCTGGCGGCCCACGCGCACGCCCTCGACACTACCGCCGGCGCGGGGCGGAAACTCCTCCTGGGCCAGAAGAACGCGCCCACCATTGCGCCGCAGCTCGCCTCGATCGCGGACTTTGCCGTGCTGGAGACGTGTTTGGGGACGAGGACGTCGGACGAGGTGGAGCCGTTTTGCGCGGATTTCCAGCCGTATATTGCGGCCGGCAAGCCTGTGTTCCAGATCGAGTACCCGACGAGCGTGCGGGACGACGATTCGATTAGCCAGGTTGACTACAACTACTTTTGCGTGAACAAGAATGGCAACGAGGGGTTCAGCGAGGTGTTGAAGCACGCGAGCGAGCAGGTTGATGGCTGGGGCCAGTTTTGCGGGCTGGGGCTTACGGGGGGTAGGTTTGAGACGCCGACTGTTGATGAGGGGCCTGATGATGAGTGAGTGAGTGAGTGAATGAGCAGAATGTATGTTGCGAGATGTTCACTAAGTATGGGGTGGACTGCTGTGGGCGATGAATATGGACATGATTTCGATTCTTGTACTTAAAACTTATATCCAGTAGAACATGTACATGCTGGTGACAATTTTTCAACACAGTCCAAAGGACGAAAAGATTCCGCAACTCCGTGCAGGCCATAACACAGAAGAGCAAATAACCAACGCGATAGGGCATATCAGAGAGCCGTAGTGAAATTCCAGGGAGAGCCTCTCCCTCCAAAACCCTTAGTTGTGGAACTGAACAGAAGCCTCGGCTTCTTGCTCCAACATCTTACGCTTCAAACCCCTCGCTTTCAGCGCCACGTACCCGACCAGCGCAACACCGACGGCGAAGCCGGCCGAGAGCAGAATGACGTTGACGGGCACGGGATCGCCGCCAAAAGTCTGGTGGAACAGGACATCCAGCCCAGACTGCAAAAAGTTGAAGAGCCCCGACAGGCAGATGATGGTGCCGTACACGGTGCCAAACGTCTCAAAGCCAAACACTTTCGCGCTGTAGTCGGACACGGCGGTGTAGTAAAAGGGCCGGTAGAGCACGAATAGGCAGACCTGGATGTAGGCCGCGGCCATGTTGTCGACGACGCCCAGCACGCCAATGGTGGTGGCGATGGTGACGAGCGCCGTCAGGACGGTCACGGTGCTGGTGTAGTCGAGGAGGACGCCGATGAAGGGGATGGAGAGGATGCCGCCAACGGGAAGGGCGACGTCGAAAAAGTTGTTGATCTCGACGGCCTTGCCCACGTCGCCAAAGATGACCTCATACTGCGCCCGGATGGTGGCGACGAAGTAGTTGATGCGGAGCATCTGGATGACGGTGAAGAGGCAGATGAGGATGAACCACGGCGAGGCGATCTGGCGCAGGGCTGAGCGGTTATGCATCACGCCCCAGACGCCCGACATCTCATTCTTGTTCTCCTGGCGGATCTGCTTGTCCGCCTTTTGGGTGCCCAGCAACTGCTCTACGTCGGCAACGACGGACTCGCGGTGCCGGCGCTCCTCGCGCAGAAGCGCCGTGTTCTCGTCGACCTGGTCGTCGTACGGATCCGGGTCTGCGTCGTTCGCGGCTACAGTCTCCTCTTGCAGCTCGACCAGTTCTCCCACCGTCTTGTACGACTGCTTGGGCATCAAGGCGAATTGGACAATGATGATAAAGACTGGAACGATCAGGTACACTTTGAAAAACTTCTCGTGGCCAAAGGTGCCTTCCGATGCTTGGAAGATTATGCGGTAGACCAGGAATAAGGCGCTAGATGCGTCGAAAGCGCCAGTCATGAGGGCGAGAATGAAGCCCGAGTGCTTTGGGAACGCATTGGATAGTTGGAAGGACGAAATGTAGGTGAATGGACCGCCAAGGGCAAGGCACAGGTATCCAATGAGAAAACCGTCGAAAGGGAGTGTCTTGGCATAAGCCATCAAGATCGATCCGATGATTAAGAAGACGCTGCCCACAAGTCCACAGACACGCGGGCCGGCGTGGTCAAGCAGGGCGCCAACGGGCAAAGCAGCGATATTGGTACCAACTGCTGCCACGGTGAACATGAGATTGAGATGAATCTCAACGCATGTATCGTCGGGGGTTGAGTTGGACTCATCGGTGGAGCAGACGTCGCTGTAGGCGCCTTCTCGTTTCAGCACCGGCTTCAATGCCGCAAAACCAAAGGCGATACCCGCTGCAAAGAGGCAGTATATCACGGCGATGGTGACTTGAACTACAGGAACTGGTCAGTACATGTTCCGTGTGATAGACGATATCACAGCGTCGGCCACTTATTGGACGGCAGGTGACAGGCTTGTTAGTGGGACGAGCGACGTACGGATTCTTTTCCACTGCGGAACCTCAAAAGCACCAACTGCAAGTACGGTATCAGGCTTGCTCGCCGCAGGGTCCCATTCATCAGGAAGAGGGTTGAAGGTGAGACGTCCCGCCCTTACACTTGAGGCATCGCTACCTCGTCTCGATCCCTGTGCTTGGGGAAGGAATTGGAAAGTTTCCACCGAGGCTACACGACTCAACGACATGGTGAATGATCAGTCGGTCGACGTTTCTTCGTGGGTGAGTTGCCGGTGAGTAGAAAGAGAACGAAAGCAGTGAATGATAAAAATGTTCAATGGCTACTGTTAAAGAAAACAGCCGCCAAGAAATAGGTTCGAGAAGGAAGTCGGAGCTGAGGGTAAGAGGTGGAGCCGAGCTCGAGATAGCTAGCCCAGCAAGCTCTGGTTCGCCAATGACAATCCGTCGATAGACAGAGAGGTTGGCGAGACTCGATCGAATGGGGTAAGGCAAGGTAGAATAGAACAAGATACACTGCAGAGCCGAGTTTTTCAGACTTTTCAGTCGAGATAAGGCTCTTTATCTGTCAATCGAGAACCCAGGCTTTGCTGCAAGTCCTGCAGAAATTTTCTGACGTAGTGTGGTGTAGTCTTTGCGGTTTCCCCCCATTCAGCCGGAATCGCGGGGCACACCATACAATGATGGATTGACGACAACCCAGAGCTGTGGAAGGCACGGCAGCAATCTCGTAATCAGTCTCCGTGGACTAAGACAGTGTAGGTGACAGCCAGAAAGATGAAATAGCAGGCAAAGATATGGACAAGGTAGGGATATTTGAAATCTAAATTATGCTCGAGAGAACTGTAGGAAGGTGTCGAGGTTAAAGTAGAGAAAATCTCCAACAGACGAGTGATCAGGTGGCGATGCAGGGAAGCGCCGATTGGGCGGGGGTTCGCGGTTGCATATTAAAAGGGACACGGGCAGGACACGCGGATGATTGGGATGCAATTGGACTTGGTTCACAAGGAAAGAGCCAATGCTATTTAGAGCAAGACATCATGGGCAGGCACGGCAAGGCAGGGGAGAGCGGGGCAGGATAGACAATATGTAAAAGAATAACGTCGTAGAAAACGTCCGTTTGCCTCCCTACCTCGGTATGTAAGTTTGCTCAGCCGCTGTACGCTGTGCCGTTCCCACCACCGAGACGACCGCATGCATGGAGGACAGAATGGAAATCGGATGAAGGAATTGAACCGTCATGTGGCCCTCTTTCTCCGGTGGGCACCACATACCGTCCCCGATCTGCCGCCGTGAACCGAACCGCATGGGCCCAGCCGCTCGGGGAATGGGCGCGAGCTTTTGCACGGAATGGGGTTCACGATTGGGGTGGATAAATCTGTACTTTACATTGCACGAATAGATCCTTCGCTGCTTTTGATGGGCAATCTCGTATGCGAACTGTTACCTAAAGCTTAAGCTGATTGCGATTGCCGTTTATAAGACCAAATCAGAAACAATTTCAGCCAGTGCATGCCGTTGGGAAAGAGAGCAGAAAGGCTCAAAAACCCCGTAGATGAGAACGGAAGGAACCCCTCTTGGACCTTGATGCATTACCTGTTCCATCCTGAACACCTACCTACCTTACCTTACTTGGGTATTTACCTACGAGCATGCGGCCCCCCGACAATATTGGAAAGAACACAATGACTTTTGCAAGTGAATGGGGAACGGAATCCGTCGAGAAACCCAGATCAGCGCCAATTTACATAATAAGACGATTTAGCCACCTCTGTCGACACCATCTCCTCATCTTCCTCTAACCCAATCGAACCCAGTAAGCAACAGCGCGACGAAAGTCAGCGGTAAGACCGGCTAAAGCAATTGAATAGAAATTCGCAACTCGCAGTGGATTGCATCAACCGTGCAAGCGTGGATCAAATGTCCTACGATACCGTCGTCCATGTGCTTCATGTCGGGACCATGATGCACACCGTGACTTGGTAGAAACTTCAAATACCCCCGTCTAACGGTCTGCTTCAACTGCTTTGGCGGCCCAGATGCCCCCGACTGCCATCTAACTGCATGCGGGGAGGGCACCCCATCTAACGGCCTCCGGCCAGAACGGCGTCGGGTGCGAGGGCGCCGGCGGGTGCAAGGTTTGCCTGGCCGCCGACGTCCACCCCTGGGCCCCGAGACCCAACTTCACCATGGGATCTGTCCCAATGACTCCCGTCTGTCTTTTACGGAGGCTAAACGTTGACAAGGGCGAGATAGGGTAGTCGTGAGCAGTAAAATTAAAAACTAACGTTGCGTCGGCAATACACGAAGCGGCTATAAGGGTACCCCCAACGCCCGCGGGCTACGCTCGTCATGAGACCACCCGCGAAAACAATACAAGCACGGTAGCAGGGCAAACAGCGATAGACAAAAGAAACGATGTGTCATGGTGACAATGTGCCGGCGAGGGCTGCCGTTCAAACTCTGCCCTTCCCCAAATCTCCCGTCCATTCTTATGCAAACTACCCGAGTCGAGTATCCATCATCTCTAACCCCCTACTAATTGTTTCCTGTTGTACTTTGTTTTGCGGCAAAACGTCGGCACCCACACGCGAAAGAAAACGCCTCATAAAGGTAATCGTAAGGCATCGTCGCAGAACGTGGCTCGAATTGACATGGGCCGAAGTCGCCGATAGAAAGGAGATGTCTGTCTCGGCTCGTCGGGATTCCGGGATAGTTCCAGTTGCGCCCCCGGGCTGTTGACCTCGTCTTCCATCCATCGCTCCAACTTTTCCTCTCCAAACGTCTCCACAGCATGAATATTATGCACACAAATTAGAAAAAGGCCATCAAAGATCGTAAGCGGACGTGTCGTGCCGATCCGTCGATATTCTAGATGTATTCACGAGAAACAAAAGCAAAAACATCCACGCCAGATAATTACTGGTCATGAACTCTTCACTTGTAGAATCTGATGATGGCCTTGGCGTCGCCGGATATGGCCGTCTGGTAATTGCGCATTAGTCAATGAACGATTTGCATGTGTCAGAGTGGTTAAACGTACAGTACAGCCAGTGCCACCTCCGGTGTAGGAGCCGTCAACAAGCGCACACTTGCTGTTAGCACCGATGATTTCAATGTTGAAATCAAGCTTGGCGGTCGATGTTGGTGCGTTGTTGAAGATGGAGATGTAGGTGTTACCGTCGGAGCTCTTGCCAACACCAATGTTGACGGGAGCCCAGTTGCCAGCGCCAAGAGGATCCTTGGAGCTCTTCCAGACGCAGGCATCGTCGACGGCGTAGCCGAGCTTGTTGACGTAGTACTGGGCGGTAGTAGGGCTGTCGTTCCAGACGTAGTAGTCGGCAGAAGCAGGGTTGGTGAGGGCCAACTGCTGGCCGGGCTGGGGAACAGTGGCGATGACCATGGATTCGGTACCAGGGTAGTCGGTACGGCAGACGCAGGAGATGTCATCGAGGTCGTTCTGGACAAAGACGCCGCCGGCACCCTGCTCGCAGAGGATCTTCTTGGTAGGGCGGGAGAGCTCGAGATATCCATCGGCATTGCAGTAAAGTCCACCAATGGACTGCTTGGTCGAGCCTTGAGCGGTGGGCCATTGGGTCTTCTGGTAGCCGTCGAGGCAAGAGTAGGAGCAGAAGGATTTCTTGGAGCAGCCGCCATCAGAGGCAACGGCAGTCTCAATGAAGGAGATGGCGGCGTCGCCGACGCTGTAGTTGGGGGTCCTCTGGATTCCAGTCCAGCCGTTGGTGCCGAGGTAATCGACAGCCACCGCGCCGTACTCAGAGGGGAAGTGGGAGCAAGGAATGGTGCCGCTGGGGAACTCGGCGGTCAGGCCCTTGCCTCCGGAGCTGCTCGAGCCTCCGCTCGAGGACTTGGAGGTGGAAGCGGGTGCCTTGGTAGAGGTGGAAGAAGGCGTCGGGGTCGGGGTGGGAGTCGGGGTGGGAGTCGGGGTCGGGGTCGGGGTCGGGGTCGGGGTCGACGAGGTGGAAGGCTTGTTAACCTTGGCCTCGAAGAACTGGGCGTCCTTAGAAACGGAAGGCGTGGGGGCTGTGGAGGTCGAGGCAGACGGCAGAGGGGTTGAAGAGGGCACAGTCTCGCCGACAACAACAAACAGGCCATCGGCGATACCCTGCTTGGCTTCCTCCTCACTAATAGGCTTTCCTCCCAGTTCGTAGGCGACCACGGTCGGGCCAGACTCGTACACGACGACAACGTCGCGCTGGTCGAGAGCGGTGTCCTTCTTGACGTGGCGGTGACGGTGGTTGTGGGGTTGAGCAACGACACCGGCGGCGAGGGATGCCGCAATGGCGAGGTTAATGATGGACCTCATATTGTCGATTGATGTTGATATTCTAGAGCATGTGTTAGCGCATCTTGAACCTCAATTGCGTTGAAGGGTACACGAAAGGCGCTTCATAGGGGGTTGGAGAGCCGCCGCAACGGCAGACAATGGATGAGCTTGAACATTGCAACAACATCAACGATGCAGTTGTAATTTGTCCATCGCCTTCAATGCCGCGCGCAAGTTTGTTGCTTCCTCTTGCGATGCTGCGTTGCGCGTTCTGACCGAATTGCTTTCGTGTACCCTCCCAATTGGGATGCGTTTCCCCCGTCACAACCAACTCACCCTTTTCTCGCGAGTATTGAAACCAGAGTCGAGAACTGTTTCGATGTATGGCGTGTCTTACCGGCGTTGATAGTGATCGAAACGGAAAAATCGTACTAGGTGATTATAGGATAACGAGTGTTGGCTGATTCGGATTCAAAAGAGTGTAAGTGAGAGCGAACTCTCTAGTTGGGAATCAACGCGGTGAACGAGAATGAAGAGCTCGATGACCAGGAGAAACTGAGAAGAGGGAGAAGGAGAGGGTGAAGTGGAGGAAAACAGGGTAAAGAGGCCATGTCGTGGATCCCTTGGGAAATTAGTAAGACCAGGCGCGGTAGGTACGACAGGTACAAGCCGTACAAGCCACCCGGCCTCCAAGACCCCCCCAAGTGTGTCCAAGACCACACCGACCACACCCCAGGCGCTATTATCAGAAACAAGAAGAGACGATCCCGCCCGCGGGCTGCAGGTACTGCAGGTACAGACACGCTTAGTGTACCACTGTACTACCGTACCTTACGAGGGCACCTGCCGCACCTCGCAGCAAAGCGGTGCGTCTCCCCAGAAGGGGAAGGAAAGGGGGTTATCTGCCTAGACGGGACTAGCGGAAAATTAGAATTAGTGGTTCGTTGGGTCCATTTATTTTTACGTTGACATTCTGGAGGAGCTCACAGACACACAGGCACCTGGACCGGGCCCTTGACCTTGACCTTGACCTTGACCTGGACCTAGACAGTGGACCTTTGACCTGCGCTCTCGCTTCGCGGTCAATTGTTACTTCCATTGGATGCTTGGCTGATTGCTCCTTCTTAGGTAGGATGAATTCGCTGCTTCTCGCACTCACTTGCCCGCGGGATCCCATCCCATCCTACGGATACAGAGTACTCCGTACGGAGTACCTACCCATCCCAGCCACGACCAACTTCAGTGGAGGACAGAGGAACCACAAGGTGCTGCTGCATGTGAAGCCTGGGGCACGCCGCACATGGACATGCGGACGGCGGACCCAAAAGGCGCAAATCCCCCTCTTTTTTTTTTTTTTTTTTTTTTTTTTAATGTCTGCATTGTGTCGTACGAGGAAAGTGGAAGGTGTCCTGCAGCCAACAGGCGTGGCCCCCTTCCTCCTTGGGTTCCTTTCTGGCCAAAAAACGCAGCTGGCAGTGCGCCGCAGTGGTCGGAAATCCGGGTCCAATGCATGGGAAGCATATTGCCTTCATTTGCGACTTTCATCATCTATGGCCAACTTGTCCAAATAACGCCAAATATCCATGGATGCAGTCGTAACTTGTCATCTATGTCCTTGTCCTCATCGGATCCTGGCACTGCGTGGAAACGCACAAAAAATCAATCGGGCTGTGGCACTCACCCACGAGGCACTTTCAGGGACGTCCCGGTCACACTGCCTGACCCTCCCGTCGCGGCGTCGCCTGCGCCTTCCACACAGCTGTCGTCCGATCAATTCTTTATTTGCATCTTGTTTATTCTGCTCGCCTCAGGCATAATCAGTTCGTCTCATCATGCGTCCATTATGTCCTTCTGGGCAGAAAAAAAAGCAACATCAGAAACATAACTGACGGTGCATGTAGGAAACAACCGCAGCGCACATTTACGACGGGATCTAATGCGAGACAAACCAACTGGCGAAACAAGCCATTACCGCCAACCAGAGCCGTTGCGTGTCAAGCCACCGCCTCGTCCGCATTTCCCCCCTTTTTCTTCCTCTACTACCTTAATACGGAGTATCCGTACATCCTCTGTGTACAATTGGACGAATAGATCATATCATCCCCGGACAGAGATGCAGCGCTGCGGAAATATTCGTAGTCGCCCCAGCTCCAACTCGACAAGCCTGGTCGGCCGAATGACGATCACCGCTGCCATTGCATGCGTAGTGTGTTGGTAGGAATAAACCAGTCAACTGTCGCATACTATCCTGGTCAGAACCCTGTCCTTGATACAACACAGCCAGCCTGTCGCCGTGTCAATTGACGGCTTGATTTTCCCTCTTGGTCTTTGTCGACGACTCTGGCCCTCACCCAGTCGAATCAGATTGCCTTGGCATAATTAAAGAACCATGCATAGGTAAACCAATCCCTGCTACTACTCACCATGGGCTGGTTTTTGGCAGCTTTGCTCAATTTCGAGACTGCAAGGCAATTAACCGTCTGTCAAGCGCCTTTACCGAAAATGTCGACGACGTTATTTCCACTCGCCAGGCTTGTCAATTGGTCTCCTTGCTTTAATCGATTCGTTGCTATCGTCGTCGTCGCCCTCAGCTGGCGTCGTCGTCACCTCACATCTCAATTCGCTGAAGTGGGAATGGGTTAACGTCCAGCAACAGCAGCTAGCCTTTTTTCATTCCCTTTGAACCATGGTCGTCAAAATCTTGGGTTCTTTCCAGACTCCAAGTCTCTAACCATCCGTTGTTGATTTCGGCTGTCCTTGGCTCCTTGACACCATGTCGCAACCGCCGTGCGCTACTACGATTGACATCAAGCGCTCATACTCCATACGAGATTCGGCTCTAAGCGACGTTACACGGTTACCATTGACAATCGCCGTACGGAGTAGAGACGGATCACGGCTGACCACTGGTGGGTGACGGAGGTTATTGCAACCCCAGTTACCCCTATTGTCAATCAGTATTCGGTACGGATACGGACTCGAGGAGTAGGAAGAGCGCTTTGAACCATGGAGTACGGATACCGCAAGCGCCATTGGTCAAGGGTCGAAAACAGATTCGCGATGAACCCTTTGGCGCACGTACATGTCCATGTCGTCTGAAATCTGGAGAATCCTTGGCCGATTGATGCATAGCCATCCTGCACGGAGAAAAACCTTCAGTCCAAGACGGCTCATGAAGAACTCATCATCGGTCTACGGAGTACTTCGTACCAAAGACTAGAGTCCACGAAGCTTCGCTGCAGAATTCCGCTTGAAATGCGCGATGCACCCACTCAGTTAGCTCCCCACCGCCGGTGCTACGTGGGCTTCTTTGTGAGGATTCAGTAAATCTCTCCAGCAACCAATCTTATTTACAACCACGACGGCGTTGAATTGGCCAATGTGCCAGATGCCAATAGGTATCTTACAGGCTTCCGCTAGAACAAATGAATGGGGAATCGAGAGATTTGGGCTTCGCGCCGCAGCGGCTACCGCTCATCTCCTCCCCAGGTACCTGTCAAAGAGGGTCGTATCTACTCCGTACTTTCTCAACAATAACAACACTTTAGGCCGAAAGATCAACGACGGGGGACTAATTCACCGCGAGCCACGCCGATGGCTTCGATAGCGTTGCACATCGCCCATCATCCACCGGTCGCTAAAATAGCGACGAACACTCGTACGGATACTTGGCCCGACACTTACCTCCAAATATCCATCACCTGCGACTACGGCGGTTGCCAAGACGATGGAACAATGAAAACATGGATATCCAACCAAGCTTTGATCGTAGCTGTTTACGGAGTATGGATACAGCGCATGCTCGTTCAATCACGACCCTTCGAAGGCCTCAGCCAGATTGATGAACAGTCACACCACCTATTCGTACAGGCTATGAACAACTACCTGTAAGCTATTGGACCGTGCGATTTCCTTCGTCTCATTTCGGCCATGACGTCCACAAATCCACACCACAATTTCGGAAGTTACGATCGATCTGCGCTAGAGCGAAAAGCAATGGCCGCGCAGCCACCACCTTCCCACCTGAAACGTTGAAACATCGACAGCCTTTAGGTCCAGGCCTGTACGATTTATCGGTCTTCACGAGAGGCACAGGGAAAGGCCTTCCAGGCCCCTCCAAAATCCAATGGCCATTTACGAGGAGAGTCATGTCACGAGCCCTGCTGGCTGCTGCACGAAAGACCCTCCCCCTCATCGGCTCGAAAGTGCCGCGAGCTGTTCGCAACTGGGGCTTGCGTAAGTGGTCGGCATCGACGACAATCTTGTTCGATTAATAGTCCCCCACTTCACGCCGAAATGTTACGACAAACTCAAGTGCAAGTCACCCAATTGGTGACTGGACTCGCGTCACTGAAAAGTTACCCACCAAACCTCGCATTTTGGAATTCGTGATCTTGAACACCAGCGAGGCCCTCATCCGCTACCTCGAACAAATCTGTCATGGCGCCAACTTCCAGGACGAGAAATTCCTGGCGTGCGTCCGTTCCATACCAGCAGAATGACGCGACTTTGATCAAAACAACGCCAACTCGTCCACGAGACTCATCCGACCGCTTTGCACATGAATTGCAAAAACACGCTATCTGACGATGCATTCCAGACTCGACGTTAGTTTGGATATCCACACCCGTGGTCAAGTGCTGCTCTTCGCTCTGGCCCACGCTCACCTCGCGGCTTCTAGAGCCTCACGGGACGGGACCGCCGTTGTTTTGACCAGAGACATTGGCCAGAAACAGGGGACGATTGAACTTACACCTGACTGACGGCAGCTGTCGAGACATGGCACCATCAATCGCATATGGCTCTCGTCTCGTTTCTTCCTGATGCAAGCTCTCGCGCCCTTTTCCATCGCGTCGCAAGATGTACTCAGAACCTGACGAGCTCGACTTGCAAGCCAGGCGCAACACGACTCGTGTTATTCAGCAGACACATCGTGGGCATAGCGTTGGCGGTCACTAAGGCATCTCAAACAGGCTACCTTTCTTGTCTCACTATTGTGACCACCAGCTGGGCCATTGTTGACAAATTTGTGTTGTGGAGAGACGAGCATTCCAACGACTACCGGCGACACCTTGGTCGGCGGCGGCGGCGGCCGGTGATCGATTTTGATGGTGCAGAAATAGCTGCCGCCATGGCGCAACCGTTGAGCCCAGCGCAAGTGCGTACCGTATCGACGGGATTATCGTGGACAAGAACCCATGTCTGTTCGTATGCAACCTCTTACCTACTCTCCCAGAGTGCTTAAGAAGAGGGGTTAGGCTCTCTGTTCATTATCACGATCCAGGGGGGGGGACGGGAAGCGGTTGTCTCTTTCCCCCCTCCCTTCCCTACCCCTTCACAGCCGATGTATCCCTTGAGTATTCGTATGTATCTTTTTTCCTGATAGTGTCTCTGCGGTATGCTTGGAGGGAAGGCTTTGCGCGCTCTATTGTCAAGATGGTCAAAGAGCAACAAAACCCCGCCTCCCTCCCTCTCGTGACATGACGCTCCAAGTATTGTGTTTTTGGCTCTGCTCTAGATACATCCACAGCAAAGCAAAGGGCTCTTTCTGGGCTTCGACTTGGGCTTGGCTCGGCTTGGCTCGGCTTGATGGTATCGCGGTATGGCATCTCGACAGTTCCCATTTCACCTTACTTGGTATCCGAACCAAAGGGGTTTGTTACGTGCTGACCCGAATAACTTTCGGTGTCATGTTGAAACGACATTGTGAGTCGAAATATCCCTTGCATGTATGCCCTTGCAAGTTGCAACGAACTTGTCGCATAGCAGGTAATGCTCCAGTCTGAGGGTGGACCGAGGTTTGATTGATTGATTGATTGCATGGCCCGGACAACGAAAGTTGAGCACAGTGACCAGAGAAGTCAATCAACGCAAGTTGACTGGATCGGTTGGCTCTCCGTTCTTGTAAACTTTGAAGAGCGCAAGTTGACCCGCCGGTAGAGCCTACCTCGCAAAACTCACTTTCGAGTCTAAAGCTTGAGGGAACTCTTTCTTGACAACGGTGGATATGTCTAAAAGGCATTGAAATTCCGATATTCTCGTCTCCTCAAGGAAGACCTACAGCCTCGAGGCTAGACTTCCGCAACGACCGCTATAATACATGAGAGGGAGAAAAGCCGATATCAGGATCCTCGGGTGAAGAAAAAACTGCCAGATTGAAGAAGGAAAAAATCCGTCGCGGAAAACTCCTGGGACATGTCGTAGACTCGGCCCCGTTCTCCAACGACGGACCAACTCAAAACTTTTTTTTCATATCGAGGTCCACCGTGCACATCTACCAGTGCCCTGAATAAAACGCCTTCCCCCGGGACGAACGGGTCGTCCTGCTAACTGATGGGTCAGAGAGGCAGAAACATTGGTGTGATAAACGAGAGATGAGAAATCAAGACGCCGACAATGAATGAAAAACGCCAATTTGTCCTCCTGCTACCGCCGCATGAGGTATCCTCTTGCCCGCTCCCCACCAGAAACATTCCGTCGTTGTTACATAGGTGATAGGTTGCGCCGACGGCTGAGAACATGCCGTCGTTTGTACCTGCGTGTGCTGCATTATACTTTGATCTCCGTCGCTTCGTCACCGCGAGCCTCTAGTTGTTTCTTGAGTCCCGTGACTTCGCTCGTGAGCAGTCCGATCTGAGCCTGCTTCGCGCTCTCTGCCTTCTCAAAAGCTGTGACCTTATCTGACAGCTGTTTGACCTTGTCTTCGAGGCTCTGGATGTACGCCCAGACGCCCGGGTCCGTAGCGAACATGTTGCCGCCATTCTCGGCCCCACTTCCGGGCTGCGTTCCGCTGGAACCACGAGCGTGGCCAGCCCCTGTCGGAGCAGCGCCGGCCTGTGATGCAGGAGCAGCAAAAGCTACAAGATAGTATTAGCACAAAGTCGATCGGAAATCTCAAAAAGGAACACGACTCACTTGGTGAAGTATTCCTATCGGAAGGCCTGCGGCCATATTGGTGCTGCTGGAACTGCTGCGTCAGACTTGGCGAACGTTGTCTCGCAATGTTGTTTGTATCGTGCCCGGGGCTCAAAGGCTTTGGGCTCTCCGTCATGCCACTTTGCGAGTAGACAGAAGCACCACTTACGGGCACCGAAGACACGCTCGTATTCGGTGTGTGAGCACCAGCAATGCTGTTGGGCATGCTTGGAGACGTGGTTGAACTTGCTGTACCGCGGTCAACGTTGGGCGGGTAGAGCCCGCCGGTTCCGGGTCGTGGACCTGCTGGTGGGTATGTACGCGAATGAGCGTTGTATCCATCAATGCTGCCCGGCCCACCTGCAATGTGTTGCGCTTTGATGCTCGGCAGGCTTAGACGCCTCTCTTCTTCCGTCAAGTCTTCTTCGTTGGCGTACACGATGCCAGCCATTGAATCATCGCCATCATGCATACTCGGCCCGTCCAAGTCGTCGGTCTGGTCGAAACTGCCCATACTAGACCGACGGCCCGCACAACCACCCGCACCCTTGCTATGCCGAGCAAGCGCGTCGCCCCGGGCAAACTTCCGATCACACTTGGGACATATGTGGGGTTTCTCGCCCGTGTGTAGTTTGCTATGACGCTTCAAATCGTGCAGGCGTCGGAAGCGCATGTTACATTCCTGACATATGTATGGCTTTTCCTGGCTGTGCGTGAGCAGATGGCTCTTGAGGTTGTGGTGACGCGTGAACTCCGTCTCGCAAAACGGGCACTTGTGCTTCTTGCCGGATTGAGTCGGAGAATCGTGACGGGGCGACGGCATGGGAAAGCTCATGCCGCGCGCCGGTGGTGCGGGCATCATGGCGGCGGCTTGGAGCGAACCCGGATATGAAAGTGATCCGGGCGTATTCTTTTCATCGTGAATCGGGGCCGGGTGCGGCGGCTGGGGCTGATGCTGTGGCTGTTGAGGTTGCTCGCTCATTTTCGGATCAACTTCCATTGGACCTGGACTGGCCGTCACTAAAGCGCCTGCGATACTGGCTGCGCTCGCTGCGCTCGCTGCGCTTTCAGGACTGATCTCTGCAGGTTCTGCGGGCGCATGGCTGACTTGAGGGATTGACACCACCGGTTCGGGCGCCTTGGTGGTGACCTCCATGGCAGCCGTTGGAGCTTGCGGTGCTTCGTCGGGTCGACTCATGGCGGCAACGCTACCGGCCAGTACGGAAAGGACTGAATGGCCTGGGTTGTCGCTTGAGGCGGGCGGGTTGAGACGCTGTTCGCGTTTGCGTTCTTCTTCGAGAGCTTCGAGCGCCGCGGCGGCTGTCAATGGTGTCGGTGAGCGTCTTGACGATGCCAAACCAAAACGAGCAGACTTCGTAGGGGATGGATAGTCGATGGAGGGAGCGACAGGAGGAACGGCGCCTTCGACGGGAGGGTCGACAACAGACGTGGGCGAAGTAGGAGTAGACTCGCGCGCCCTCTTGAGCGACTTGGTACGAGCAGGATCTCCCCCAAGCGCGAAAGTGTCTGATGCGACCGGCGTCGTCGCTGCCAGGAGGGGGGCTTCGGTCGCAATGGGACCGTTATCCGAGGCCATGAGCGGGCGCAAGCATGAAGCGATTAATTGGAGGGTTGGATTGGAAAAGGAAGCTCCGATGCGACCGCGTCGTCGACGTTGTTGATGGTCAACGACAATTCATGGGAGCTTCGAATCGTTCAGCCACACGTGGCGGTTCTTGTTCGTGGACGACCCCGAATTTGACGGGACGAGCGGACGAGTCGCGGTGGAATGTGGCGGAACCGAGTTGGGCGGGATTGAATAATGGCTGACGCAAGCCGGACTCGATGGCGAGTAATTCGTTTGAAATTGAATTTGTTACGCGCGCAAAACCAGTGGCGGGGTGGAAATCTGGCGGGCGGTAGCGATGTTGAAGAAGAGGGAAAAGAGAACTGAATTCCAAGTGTGGCAGAAGCTGGAGGAAAAGGGAAGGGTGGAGGGCGGGTGCAGCAAGATAGAGTAAGGCAAATGGTCAGAAAGTTGAGTGAGAGAGGTGTGACGGCGTCTGCGAATGAGGGCGAGTTGGGGCTTGCGGTTTCTGCCACAACAGGCGGCGGGCGGCGGGTGCGGGAGGTACGGACACACACACACACACACACTGGGGCGGCCGCACGCTACCACCTGAGGTGAGGAACGACAGAGGTATCCGTACCTGCCTGCCTGCCGAGCTTAGGTAAGCCGTCGCGAGACGAGGTACCTACTTACTTACAATTACATTGGATGCCTTTCTCCTCCTACCTGAGGTGACCAACCAGGACAAGGTGAGGCAGGCCGCTGCCCGCAGGCGCACGCAAAGGCAGTTCGTTCTCGGTTGCGGCAGCGCGGCAGCGTTGGAGGACAACTGACAGGACGACGGGAGGGAACTGGAACTATGAACATGATCCATCCCGACTGCTGCTGTCGCCAATACTGCTGCTTGCATCTACCTACCATTTACGTCTGCGCCTCTGTGGCTCTGAGTTTGAAGAAGGTCGGTAATCCAAGAGCCCAACAGTCAGGTTCTTCCCTTTTCCTACCTATCGTGCCTGCTTCCCTCCGATACATGGCATGGTGATAGGTACCTTCCCGTACCGCCGTCATGGTACCTACCCGTCAGAGTTGACCAAAGTACGGAATACTTGTAGCTCGATATTGAGGAATGGGTGTACTGGATACATTGCCCACCCACCCCAACTTCTCTCAGGCGGCTTCTCACCAGCCCTTGTACACAGACGGACATACATCTCAAGCCACACCCATGCGCGCGCGCACATACACACACTGTTTCTCACTCTTCCCCTCCCTAACTCCGTCTTGGCATTCTCTGAGTTACGCCACGCTCTGTTGATACATGTTTGGATTATCCCGATAGTTGCGGCTTGTTGAGCGCCACACTGATGGAATCAATATTGGGTCATAAGAAATAAAAACGTGCATTGTTGCTGCTGCTCTTAGCTCGGGATATCATAAAAAAAGAAAAAGGGTGGCATTCCGAAAACGAGGCGCCGCACTTGAAAGTTGATGGTCAACATTGGAATTATGAATACGACGGAGTCGGGTTCCGGGGACCAGGCTGGATGACGACGAGGGAGAGGGAGGGACTGGGAGGCACGGAGGGAAATGGAAGGGAAGGAAACCTGAGGGAATGGAGCCCGAAAGCAAGGGCCATTCAGCCCCAGCGGTGGCTGTGCAAGAAAATCTAAGAGCCCCATGCCCCAGCCTCCCCTTTGCTGGGAGTCTGGGACACACGCGAGTGGATAAAATGTCCATCTCCGTCTCCACTCGAGCCCACTCGGTGGCTTCCCGTAGGTTCTCGGCCAGGGAATATCAGGTCCCGGTTCCAATTTTCACCTCGTAAACCGACGTGGCTTTGCATCCGCACTACCGACAGGCAAAGTCACCGATACTTGTTTTTCTCGTCCCACCATTCTCGCTCGCCCTGCTTACGGCTGCAGCCTCCAGGTGCACTTGACTTGGTTCTTCCTCCACGCATCGCCCCCTCTCTTCTTCTTTCCCCCCGCAGCAGCACACCTACATACCACTGGTAGGTACGCGGTTCAGCGGACAGTAAGAGTGCCCCGTGGCTGATGACCTGCCGAGGAACCTACCTACTTGGCCAAGAGCTCCCCAGCTACAAACGCCTCGCATCCCGCTTGCTACACGCGCAAACTCCGCAGACCTGGCCGGGAGTACCTTGATTGTATCTGAACATTCCCTCACCTCAAGGTTTGGGTGGGCGATGAGCCGACCTCTTGCCGGATCGACTGCCTCAAGCATGAAGCTAATGATAACGGGATCGATCGCTTCTGCCGATTTGTTCTTAGCATCACTCATTTTCCAATTGTTGAGCCGCAATGCAGTCAGTTGCCTCTCAACACGACACTGAATGTGCAGAAGAGAGAATCGATAGAGGGAGAGAGCATGGCACCAGACGGGCCGCGCGACGGCAGTGCGCATGCACTCCAGTCAACATATCGTTACCAGGCACCCACCGTGATGCCTGTCTTCTCTCAACCCACCGGAGCCTCGTCTAGGTAGCTGTGAGCCTGTGCCATGCTCTCTCTGCCTTGCCTTGCTCAGCTCCATGGTCGCCCGAACTGAGGCTGAGGTTTCTTTGATGGGCGACTAGCATCAACCAGCACAGGTTTCGCTTGCAAGTTCTGAGGGACACGGCGGGAAAGGCGGCGCTGTTCTTTGTACCGTCGCCGGCCTTCCCTTCGGCGGCATTTAGATCGTGGAATGATCTCGATATCTAATCACGGTTCTCGAGAAACCGGAGTCCCGCGGCCATGGTTGCCAACTTTCTGCCCAGGCAAAACAACAGTGGACGCAAGGAACGAGTCAGTCATGGGCCAATGAAGGGATGGAAACGACTCCGTTGCAAACCATCAACGACGTCGCCTTGGGTATTACATACTTCAGCTTTGGTCAGCTACCAACCCGTGACGAATCACCTCGGAGCCAGGTCCGTCCCTATTCGGCCATCAATTCTCTAGCTCCCCATACTAGTGCCTTTTTGTAACCCCTGGAGCTGGCGAGGCACCTGAACTGGGAATCATTTGGGTGGCACTTCATACAGGCGATGCTACCCAAATGTGGCTGAACCATCCAAACATACAAAATCGACAAAGCAGACATGACCGACGCCGCGGAGCATTTCCTACGGCAACCAAAGTTGCATCCAACGTTCCGCACCCTTCGATCCCGCGATCACTCACTCTCGAATCATGAAATCATTGGCCTAATCTATCACTCACCTTCGCCGCCAGACCCTACATTACCACGTGGTATTACCCCTTCTCGCTCTCTTGTTGGATCGTGTTCCTTATGACGACGATGTCCGGGCCCCGCGATGTGTTGGGAAAGCGGCCAATCCCACTCCAGCACGCTATGGAAAAGAGGAAAGCCGCCGTGGTTTTACGCAGGCCTTTTCGACTCCGATTTGTCGCTTTCCGCTACCATTCATCCTTCTTCTTCAGCCTCTGGTGTGATGAGCGTGAGTTCTCTGCTGACTGATGGCCCCCAAGACGCTGCGTCAGCTGAGCCACGGCCTAGCCAGAGCTCATTTCGTCCCCTGCCTGTCAACACTCATTGGCCGCTGCCACTTTGCGCCGCTGATCCCGTCGCTGCTTAGGACCTTGACGGGACAGCAGCACTCACCTGAGCCCCTCCGGAGTCCAGACAGGCCCGGCTCTGCCATGCTCATTGTCATCAATCGCCTGGCTCGATGGCGCGGGGGACCTTGTCGCGGGGACAACAGTAGCCGTGATGATGCGCGCCTGAATGCGCCAACCGCAGTACCAGTTTCGATCATGATGCCGTGTGGTACGGATAGACTGCCAAACAATCATCATCGCGAATGACATCGGCTTGGCTTGCCTGCTTGCCACAGCATTGACACTTTCGGGTTGATCGTGGTCGCAGCCCGCACTCTTCAGCTGAGGTACTCCAGCCTCGCCACATTTCATGCTTACATGGGGGAAACGGCCTAGTCGAAGGCTGCCTACGTCATCTTCAACGGAGGTGCTCCTGTCACGGACGAGAGCCGCGCGAACTCGCCAACAATAAGATGACTACATACATTGGGAAGCCCAGTGACGGCAGTTGAATGCTTTGCTGAGCGAATCCCGTCGACTGATTTCAAGGTAGACTAGTCCCGATTCCGCACTTGCTGCAGTGAGGCTGGCTGAGGCCTTAGTGGTTGAGCAGTATGTCTCGGCAGGTCTCGACAGCTCGCAAGTTTGTGGGTTGGCTTTGTGATTTTGAGAACTGCCTGGTTCCTCTATTCCTCCTCAATTACTTTTGTTGCATTTCGCCAGACACGCCCCTATCCTTGAGGAGGCCCGTAACAAATTGTCACCCATTCTGAAGCGTAGAGTCTGCATTATGTGTTGGTCTGAGGCAGCTAGGCTGACAAGCACTCCTAGTAAGCAAACCTGTGTCCAGCAAAGACAATGAAGGTGACTTGAGGGTGGCAATGGCGGATAGGAGGTCCGCTCAACGTTGGTTATGCTTGATTTCATATTGCAGCCCATTCCATCGCCACTCATCTAGATGGGTGAGGTGTGACCTGCCTGAGTCCCAAGTTGCTGCTCGTACTGAGTGATCTCTTACTTCTACTCTTGGAAGACTGAGCCGGAGGGAGGATGGGCATTTCACAGTGCTCTTTTCTCGAACTTCCTCGTTGAAAGAAGTTCCTGAGCTCTGGGCTATGGCTAGGGGTGTCACTCACGTCGTCTTAAACATGTGCATCGTTAGAGGGCATTGTCTCGTAGGAGATACCCAAATTTACCAAATGGGCGCTTCATATCCCTCTTCATGTGTCTATATTAGTCCTACCTGCATCTCAAGCTCCGAGAGGTTCCAGGGACCTGTCCTTCATGTGAATTGTCGGCGAGATCAGAGCTCCGAATGAAGCGGCTTGGGGAACTGGTGAATGTCATTTACGGTTCGCTGGGAATCAGGTCGAACCGCTCTTTAGATATATGGCCTCCGTGCATAGCTATGACGCCCGAGTTTACCAGCCGAACTAACTGTTCAAGTATGTTTGAATCTCGACTGGACGATCATTCAAGTAAATTGAGCTCCGTATACACTCCAAGTTGATACCAGTGGCTGAAAGTGCTAACATGGAAGTCGGTACGCATAAATGAGGGCTCAAGTCAGTGTCAATGTTTCGGGATGAGATGGCAACTTGTA